TTTTGGGTGTTTTTTGGTCACTCGGGAGAGTTACATTGCCAAGATTGGTCCGGAGCGGTATGTATCTGCAAAATACGGAGACTCTGGTTTTTAGGAGCTCCACCTCTGACGATTAAGTTATTATCGGTCGAAAAAATTAAAAGTGCGAAAAGGTAAAATTTAGATTTTCTCGGATTACGAGATCATGTGATGAATTCTCTGATGTTGAGATGTGTGTATGCGATAATAAATGAACGTGCCACCAAAATGGGGGAATCTCCTTATTTATAGGATCATTGGTAAATATGCCCGTTCTTAGGTTGCCCTGACCTAATTTTGATAGGTTGCACCGCATTGCGGCTTTCTCGAGATTTGGGCCGTAAAGACTTCCTTTTTCCCAACATTCTTGGAGGGACACGTGTCGAACAGCAATTGGTCCATCTTGGACCTCTTATAAGGTGACACATGTCACCATCTTATTGGGCCACTTGGTATGGGTAATTTTACCCAAAACAATAGGACTTGACAATAGTGATGCCATAAGAGCATAATAATCTCATATAAGGAAAATATTAGTGACATATAGCCATATATTGGTGTGATGTGACTTCACACTATATGGATTGGGATTGGATAAGAACACATGTTATATATGGTGTAACTATGGATAATCATACTACTATTCACATGTGTGTTGATTGATGTGTTGATTGGTAGACTATGGATAGTGATCATACTACTATTCATGCTTGTAATCTAAATTTCACATCTCATCTCATATTCCATCATCAATTAACAAAAACTGTCCCTCAATCACCATGTCCCGGGGTCAAGTGATTAGCACATTCCTGGTATAAAACAACCTCGAAAAACGAGCAATAAGGGTAATATGTGATGTACCAAAGTGTCAAAATTTCATAATCCATCCCCCTACCATTCCAAATCTTTTCCCCATCTTCTGGGGTTATTTCTATTTAGTTGACACGTTCAATTTAAACACACATATTAAAGAGAGGAGAGAGAGTGAGAGAGAATAATAGACCAAGTGGGGTACACTTAAAAAAAACAAGGTATAAAGCTTACCAAAAAAAAGGAAACGTGTCAAATTTAAAAAAAAAAAAAAAAAAAAAAAAAAAAAAAAAAAAAAAAAAAACTTCCTAAAAAGGAATACGTGTCAACTTAAAAAAACAGAGGTAAATATAATAACATATTTGGTTTAGCTAAAACCCTAAATCAATTTTTGTTATTCAATCCTGCTTGATTGTAATGTACCTATACTGTGTGATAGATAACATTACCTTGTAGATCGATAGTTTCTATTGTACCATGACCTAAGAAAAATGTATAATTTCTTTGAAATTTAGGACTTTAGTTTTCTTAAGTTGCTTTTAAGGAAACTTCCTATACATTGTTTTCAACTATTGCAAGCTAAGAGAAATTCTAATACATGTATGTATAATTCTAAACCTAGTCTTGTCAATCACTACGTCTAACTCACATTAATGTCATTTTGAGATAATACTAAAGATTTTTGATAAATGTTTGGTTTTCATTTCTTAAGTTAGGTTTCGAGTCAATCTAGTTTAAGTTGCCATAAGTTGTTGGACTTGGAGCTTGCATTCTTGTGAGATTATTGGAACAACTGGTAATTATTATTCATAATATGACCAATAATAATCAACATTCATTTGTAGTCTATTAGTTGAGTCTACTTGGAAGAGGGACAGGTGTAACCCTTAGGCTATACCGCTATAGTGTTGGATTTTTGGTATTCAATAATAGATCCTAATATCATTGACTCATAATCATTGTATTCGAAATGACGATTTACCCATGCATATTTGGGCCACAATGATCATGGGCTTTTTGGCCCATTGAACCAATGCATGGCTATATTAACATCAGTCTAGTGACTATAAATTATACAATCCTGGCCCATGTACATATTCACACGATTAATAACGATGGAAATAAAATTTTAAAAAAAAAAAATAGTTGTAGCTGCTTTTAGCTTACGTAAAAGTGGGCAATTACCAAGGCCCTGTTTGGTTTGATGTAAAAGGTTTTCATGGAAAATGAATTTTCCATTTTTTCCCATTTTCCTTTGTTTGGTTTGTTAAGGAGTGGAAAACAATTTTTCAGGGGTGGAAAATTCCATCTTTAATGATGGAAAACATTTTCCTTCCAAAAACAAGGGAAGTCACATTTTCCTCTCTCTTTCTTACCTCTTTTTTTACTTCCCTCTCATTCATCCCTACATTTCCACTCTTATCTTTTATTTTTCTTGGACTTTTCTTGTATGCAACCAAACAATGGAAAACTAATTTGCAATTGTGTTTTTCCTTGAAAATGTTTTACGTTAAACCAAACGGGGCCCAAGTGTGGATAAAGGAATGATATGATGGTTATTTCATGTGGAATGTTAAGCTAGTCTGGTTTTTAAGAGATGCATGCACAATTGACAATTATGAATGAATTTGGGAGCGGACCTTAACAATATTGTCATCCAGTTTAAAGCAACAATATTGATAAGATGAGACATAAAATCGAGCTAGAGAAACGCTTCAACAGTAAGCCACATGCCATGCTAGCTTACATTATTTTCCCCTGCCTAATTACATTATCCGAATCCGATCCATCTATGATCTATCCCCTCAAATTATTATCTACATCATTTTATTTCTTTTCTACTGTATTTATGTTAATAAGATGGAATAAGGGCAATAAGCTTAATTCCTTGGATGATTACATTATTGCCTTTTCTTTTGTTTTTTCCCCATACCATCAAACAAACTTATCAAATACTACTTGATTGTAGGGTTTAATTATATTATTTAAAAAAGAAAAGTAAAACCTTTTTTTAGTTTTTAATCCATTAGTTTTCATACAGTATAAGCACTAGTTGTATAATACTAATTGACATCAAGTAGAATCATTTCGTAAGAAAAATGATGAGCGGAAAAGTAGGAAGTTGGAATATATTTTTTATTAGAAAGAAAGAAAAAGATGTAAAAGGACAATAGAAATAATTGTAGCTAAGATAGTGAGAGTATTGTATTAGTGATCCAAATTAGAGTGATCTCAAATATCCCTATCGCAATCTCACAGCGAATGGTAATCGAGGGACATGTATTTTTAAGGAATACATTTCAGACAATTATAACTCTTCTAGAACACCTTAAGGACCACACATACACTCGCACTCACAATTCTCAACTTGGCTATCAAAGTAAAGCCTATTTTATGTTTTTTCACAACTTGGCTAGACTGAGAGAGTGTAGAGAGTTAGGGAAGAATGAAAAGTGATGAGAGAGCCATACACGTGACGTGAGTGATGTTGGTGGGCCCCATGGGCTTCTACAAACCATTTGCAAAGCCCTTTTTAAATATAATTGGCGCCGGTTGTTTAGCAATTTAAGCTCATCATCTATCCCATTTGCTGCCACTCTTGCCATTTCCCAAGGTTCATCTGCCTATACTATCTTACTTTGCCCCCTTTCTTTTTGCCATACTATTAACTTTTACATTTTTTTACCATTTCACTTCTTTTATCTTTTCAACAATACTTCATTAGGGCTTTCTACTTTGTAGGGAAATTTTATTTTATCACCCCTTTTTTTTTGTTTCTACTCACTAATAATTATGTGTGTGCATGTTTTATTAGAGCTGTTTATTGCTCTGAATTTAAATTGAATCAATTTAGATTGCTCATTCAAAAAATTAATATGCTATATCCCAATCAAATAACATATATCATATTCCAAACTTTAATCTGAGAAATATGTATTTGCTAAATTGTGTTGCAATATATATTAAACGCGGGTTTGGCCAAATCAAGAGAGAAAGTTCACTTTACAAGTCTAAGGAGGTTCCATCCCAAAACCATATGACAATAGGAGGAGTAGCCCCTTAGCCTTATAAAGTGTTTAATTCTCTCTTACTCAACCAATGTGAGACACTTACACGTGGTGACACTTGAGAGGTTTATTCTTCAACACTCCCCCTCACATGTAAGGTCACTTTAAATCAAAGATCACTTGATCTAATTCAATTTGGCCCAGAATACTTAATGCCATTAAAAGTCCAAAACTTTGGGCCTGGCAATATACTCAAACCATTAGAGGTCACATACCGTGAGTCTGGCTCTGATACCACATATTAGTGTTTGTTTTTCTTAATTATGTTAATATTGTATATTTGGAAAGTTTATCTTATTTAGGAGTTTTAGGCAAGTTATGTATTCTATTGTATTAAATATATATTTGTGATTAATAGAATACAAAGTCTAAGCCGTTTTCTCCACAATATTCTTGAGTTTAACCATATAAGCTACAATAGTAAAAAAATTCTCAAATTTGAATAAACATAATGATCATTAAGACAATAGAGATAAATTTTAGTATAAAGCGGTTAGGGATAACAAAGAGAAAGATGAGAAGATAATCCATGATCTAAGGTTGTGAAGGATGAGTATGAAATAAAGATGACAATGAAAATGAAAAGGACAACAGGTTCTAGAACACTTCCAATTCAATTGAATACAATAGACATGAAAAACAATGACCCCACCACAAGCCAACATGGAAAAAGTTGCAAACCTATCCAATGACCTACACCACCCCTCCTTCATATTCTATTTTTTAAAAATATAAAAATAAAAATCAACTCCAATAAAATATATTCTCAATTCCTTGGGAAAAAGAAAAAAAAAAAAAAAAACAGAATCTCCCAATGTCCTATAAATGTGAGAGAAGTCACACAAAAGAGGTTGCGACACACATGATTTGATAGTTGATACACACACCATTTCCTCTCCTCCTTGTTCTCCGCCAATTTCTCCTCCTTTCTAAACCTCCCTTCCCTTGTATTTCTATTTATATAATTACAATTGCAGAGAGACTGCTTCTCGATTTTACATGATGCAAACCCTAAATTTCCCCTGCAATCCGCCCACGCCCACGCCGACGCCTTCCAATCATCGTTTCCGATGTAGAGCCGCCGTGCAATCAATATCTCCGCCGATGCGTAAATCCGGCAGCTTCTACGAAGTTCTCCGCGTCAACCGCCACGCTTCCGCCCTTGAAATCAAGGCGGCGTATCGGAACTTAGCGAAGCTCTATCATCCTGACTCTTCTTCCAAATCGGACGGCGGTGATTTCATCCAGATCCATAACGCCTACGAAACTCTCTCTGATCCTGCTGCTCGAGCTCTCTACGACTTGTCGTTAGGGTTTGGAATTGGTATTGGTATTGGTATTGGAATTGGAGATCCAAACTCGTCGTTTTATACAGTTGGTCGTCGCCCCACCCGAAGGTGGGAAACGGATCAGTGTTGGTAGGCATTACTTTTTTTTGTTTTTCTATTAAAGACAATTGACAATTAGTATGAATTAGTATGCATTAGTAGTAGGTAGTATGAAATGACCTATCAAGGAGTTGTATTATGAATTGATTACTCCTGTAAAAAAAAATTATGTGTGATCTTTCTCTTTGAAGAATCAAGGTCAAGCAAAAAATTTGTAAAAACAAAAAAAACCATCAATGTACATTCTTCATCCTCTTTTTCTTTTCTATAAAAGTGGTTAATTTTGTGGAATTCATGAATTTGGTTTGGTGGAGGGTAGGACTTTAGTTTAGGCCAATTTTTGGTGAATAAGAAAAGTACACTACTTGTTACGAAGTAGGAGTACTACTAATTTGTATTTCTAATTACTCGGATCATCAAATCACAATTTCCGATATAATTATAGCAAGCCACCCATATTTCCGGCCACGTTTTGTAATTATGGATTGCTTGCTACATTGGTTTTGGATGCAACGTTTTAACCTTATTGATTTCTAAAGTTGTAGCCTTTATTAGTTGTTCCGTGTTAGTTATTTTAGTTATCAATACACAACTTATTCTGTAATTATCTTAAAATATGTCTTGATAAACATTGTAAATTAAAAAATGAAAAATGTTATACATAGATATCACACTAATAACACTGATTTACGCGTGTTTTTGTCATGAATTCCTAATTTTATACAATTTCCCAGAGTAAATGTAATGTTTATATATAGTCATTAGGGCTACATATAACAATACCCTTGAAATAAAATAAAAAAAAAAAAAAAAAAAAAAAAAAAAAAAAAAAAAACCTAACCCGTGATACTTTATAGTACACATTAAGATTTAAGACTTAGAAAAATGTCTTGAAATATCTCTAGATAAGCATTATGTATGTAAAGCTGAGAATTAAAAAGTGCACAAGCAACTATAAACAAGAGAGAAAATAATTGAGTATGGGACTACATGTTGGTAAGAAAGTAAATCAATGCGCCGCATGACCAAAGAAAATTAGGGACAAAACAAAAAAATTAGGGTTGAGGAAATATCTGAAATAGGAGCACTAAATCAGCAAAAGACCTATATTTTCTGACTAACATCCATGCATTTTTGGTGACCCAAAATCCTTGAAATATTGTTGTTGCGTCACTACCTTCATAATGCCACGCTCCTAAACAAAAGATACTCATTTTTAATCTTCTCTTTTACAAATAATTGTCATTACTATTGTATAATTTCAATCAACAAATCTCAAATTCTCAACTAAAAATCAATACATAGGTGGCAACATGGCATAGTTTTGCCATTTTTTTAAAACTTACTAGTTTAAATTGTTTAACAGTGTATTATCAGGTTTGGTTTAGGTTCCTTCATTTAGCAAGGTTATAAAGTGAGTACATATAAGAAAAACTGGAATAAAGATTTTGATGCAACTCTAATGAAGGCACAAAATCGAGATGGAGTTGTTTTCCATCTTACTTTTATTTCTCCAATTAATTATAAGCCTTAATCAGCAGCATCAAGTTCATCTTTTCATAGCATGTATAAAAAGTAAAAACTACTAAACCATAAATCATTTCCAATTTCAAAGTTTCCAACCCTTGACAAGAGGGAGAAGAAAAAAAGTGCGCACCTATACATAATATCCACCTTCACAGTCAAAATCAACAGAATAACTTGAAACAGGTACATTGCATGGATCATTTACAGGTCAGCAACATGGCGTTGATGACGTGCATCACAACCCGGATGCTCGACAACTCTGAGGATGAGGTTGTAGGAAGGCTACGTTGATGGTTCAATATCTGGTAAACCTGCTCCAAAATCGGACGCACATGCACTGCAATCATTGGGTCATGCGGGTGTATGCATGCAGCGGCATCTGTCATCCACGCTAACTTCCTTGCTGTATCCTTTGTTATATCACAAGAAAGCTGCTGCAGAAGTGAGAGTAAGACACCTTGACTCAAAGGCAATGGCATCGTTGACAAAAGACGCTGTAGATCAACCTGGTAGCCACATTGAGCAAATAACTACATGAGCATCTGTCTTAAAACAGTACCAAGAAAGCCAGTTAAGAGTTATACGGAACTGCAAATGATTAGGCAATTAATGAAAGCAATGACAGACTATGCTGATTAAATGTGTAACGTCAAGTTTCAAGCCACCACAGTCAGCAATCCACCAAGATTATACACCGAAACAAACAATCTAAGGTACCTAAATGGTCTTAACATAGAGCAAGAAAAACAAACAAGTTAATATTATTCATCCAACAAGGCAGAGTATTTTTCCCCCTTCAATTTCTGCTTTCCAAAATTTAGTAATTATTATAGAAAAGTGTACCCAGGCGCCATCTGAAAAAATGCATTGGCCTCGTAAGGTGCAGCGCGTTCCAAAAGACGTGCACCTCAGGCTGCCTTGCCTGGGCTGCCTTTTCTTATGATGCAAGCGAAAGAAGAAATCTATTTTGAGGGGAGAGGAAATCCAAATTTTAAACAGAGGTTACGGAGGTAACATTTTTTTATTTATCTAATACTGAACAAAGTCCACCTTCATGTGCCTCCTACTTTTTACCCATCTTTTTACTCCTTTCAGCCTCTCTTCAGTTACCTTTTTGATTTGATTATTTTCCTCCCTTATTGTTTCACTGTGCCAGGTAGGGACCCCAACGATCCAACCCCACACATACTGATTGAAGTAGTCGAGTGTCCTCTTCAAAGTTTCTAAAGTAATGTAACATTTTCATGTGCGCCTCACACCTTTTAAAGCAAAGCCTATACTGTTTTATTGCTAACAAAATAAAGAATTATATTGGGTATCAACAATTTTCCACATGGAAAGTAAAAGCAGGAACTGTTTCTGCTATATCAACTAATCATCTCCTATCAGGCTCAATTTAGCAGCAGCAAAGAGCTTTTCACATATTAGGTATTACAGCATGGCATCAAACATAATATCCAAAAAACAAATGAACAAAATACTCTGCATTTCTCTATATATGAAAAGAATTGGTACAAGATATATTTCTAAAATATTGTCTTAAAAACTATACTTTTCACTCAACCCTGTCTCTCCTTCCCCTCCTTTCTTTTTCAGTATCAAGCTTTTAATCAATCTCTTTACCCATCCAGTCAGGTTTCTCTCCCTCTTTCCACTCTACAGCCACCCCACTCAAACAGCCAATTAGAAATTTATTAGTGAAACCACAATTGAAGTTCCCTTTCATCAGGCGTTTCACAGTCCAATTACGTATTTCAACATATTTACTACGGAGTATATAAAGTACATCTAAGACACTGGACAATCAGAAATAATACTACTCCGTATCTCATATCTAAAACTGTTTACCAACCTACATGCTCTATCGGCCAATCTTAACCAGAATAATGTTCAATAACTTCTACACAAAAACATAAGCCATACCTGTGAGCATAACCAGGAGACGATGGTCACATCACTTCTTTGCAAAGCTGCAGTAAATGCCTCCTCATACTTGTGTTCAGAGATGAGTCTAGATAGCTCTTTTGTTGGATCAAATGGCTGCTCAACCTATGACACACATGAGATTGCTCAATATCCAAGTTAACCAAACAAAACAGTCGTCTAAATAGAAATCTTCCTGTTTTTATTGTTCTAATTAATATTTACGTTTGTAAAGCACAACTTTGACCATTAATGTCTTTTAACTGCATAATGTTAAAAGTTGATAATTTGAAGATATACACTAAGAAAAAGCAACACTTCGTAACAGTTTCCACAATAACAATTATTTTTTATAAAAGTATAATGGTAAAAATAATATGGTCAAAGTATGGTATGTGAACAGTGCAAACGTCAAATGCAATAGATAAAAAGGTCAATGTAAAAATTAAGAACCAACAAGGCCTAGAACTATTAGTTAACCAATCCTTTAAGAGGCATAAAGTCATTAGCTGACCTTCTCATGTAGACCCGACAAAGGTCCATTGCTCAATTGAGTGGCCAGCGTATTTCCTGCTTTGGAGTTTGCACCAGCAGCTGCAAGAGCAAACAACTTCCTCTGATTATCAGCCAATTCTCCGCTCAAGGTTTGAGTCAGTGATGAAGCTGAAGTTAGAGCATCCTGCGTAATTGAAAATGAGTGCAGTGTTAGCAACAATATGTGCAACCAACAAAAAAAAACTTTGACGACCCTTCACCACCCAAAACTAGTGTTTTTAACCATTATGAAAGACTAAGTGAAACAGGATGAAGATGATACATCAAGTGCAACATACAAAAAACATAAAACGGCTACATATAAATGCAATACAGTGCAGAACCATTTACAGGTTGAACAGAAAATAAGAAGAATGACGACTAGATTCGCCATCAATTCCTAAGAGAGAAACTTTCTCACACATGCCTATATGATTAATTGAACATTCAGAGCATCACCTAACTGACAAACATCTCATAACACAATCGTGTATGATTATTCTTAACAGCTTATAATGTTAATGATTTAAGAAAATAAAATAAAGCAAAACAGAAAAGGCACTTCATAACACTCCATAACTCACAATTCTTCACCAAGAAAGATTGACAACATTCAGAAAAGAATTGCCATAAAAATACAACATAAAAGTAGCAATAAGAAATAATATCAGAACAATAGAAGCAAAATACCACATTAATGTTAATTATTATTAAGAGGAAGATAAAGCAAATTTATATTATTCTAAAGTCTGAACTTAAAAAACAGAATGATGCCACCTCAAACTCACAAATCTAACTTTGGACATTCTTTTGAAAGCCCATGAGGCCATGATTCTATAGGGATATTTTGCAATCTCATAATGTACATACAAGCTGGCAGCATGGCAACTAACAGTACTATAAACCCAAGATGAAACAAGATCAACACAACAATAAAACATATCCCATGTCACAGTCATCATTAACAGTGTTAGATCATACCCTAAGGGTAAGGGCTAGCTGAGAGTTTGTTAATTCAATTTGATGTTGTGCTGCTGCTGTATGTTCAGACATTCCCTTCTGGAATGCAGAATCAACTTGCTCAAACATTGCTTTGCAGGACATCTCAAAAGCAGGGATGATAGAAGCCTCCAAACAAGACCTCAATCCATCCTACAAACAATTACCATATTGTTATGCGGTCAAAGATAACTGAAACAGTACACATCATATAAATTCCTTATATAGAGGACAATACATAAGTGAATTGATGTAGATAAGAATCCAAATATACCTGAAGTGCTTGTTTGCCAGAAGTTTGGAACTGAGCTTGGATCTGCCTGGCAACAGTAGCTTCAAGTTTTGAGGTTACAGATTTCTCCAATTGATTCACTGCCTTGTCACCAACCCCTCTCTGTGTAACAGTCAAAGAAAGCATTATCAATAGCAAAAAGATATAACTAGTAAACTATACGAAGAAATAAATTGCGGTAAGCAAAACACATGCATAAATACCATTGCAATTAGAGAACAAGATTTTGTAGGAACTGCATTAGGAATTGGTAGTATTCATATAATTCGACTAACATTATCATCAGCACCAATAAACCTTCAATAAAAAATAGCACACTCCTAGCCCTAGGGATACATAATTTGAAAAAAAGAAGAAAAAAAAAACAAATAATTTTAAAGATGGTACAAGAATAATTTGTATATACAGTTGACATCAAATAATGGAAATTGATATAGCCCATGTACTACAACTTAATAAAAAAATAAATTAAAAAATAAAATAAAATAAAATAAAAAAAGAACATGCAAGTTGTCAGCAAATGAACACTCTATAATTCAAGTAAGATCGTCAATGGGCACAGAAAATCCATTTTGTACCGGAAGAAAAAATTACATCAATTTTCACCAGACAAAAGTTTATTATGTAAAAAAATGACTTTACAACCTATAACCGATCATTTGGACAATAAAACAAAAACTTTAAGTTAGGCTATCTGCAATAGGCCAAATGCCTAAACGAGTATTTAAGAAACCTTTTACAATGCTCTGATAAATTGTAGATTTGTAGGTATTCTCTCTATCTCCTAAGTAGCATTTAGGTCCATCCACTTGTGTCTTCCAATTTTTATTCTTTTCCATATCCTACATTTTTAATTGCTTTTTCAACTTTTTCTTTTTGTGGTTTTTTTAAGGCAGATCCACATGGCCCCACCTACCCCCATCATTACCACTATTCAGATCTCCTTTTTCTCCCTTATATCTCGACAAACGACTCAGCTATTAGATGAAAGAGAGAAAGAAAGGGTTAAAATTCAAATGGAAAATGACATTTCCCCCTTCTGATTTAGCTTACTTAAACTTTTCAAATTTAGTCTCTTTAACAATCCTCAATTCAATCTTTTTACGGTTTTTTAACTTGAAATATGTAATCAGATAGGGTTACAAGCATACAGCAGAAAAATGAAAAATTAGGAGAAAGCTATGAATGTAAATTGCAGGTCTCTTGACAATTTAACAGACACGACACCACAGAATCAATTGTTTCGGTTATGATAAATGTTTCTCTATCAAGCATTCCAAGATGGAGATTTCAGGCTTTCATCCACTTGTTTCATTTAGAATCAATACAAGGACAGAAGTAAAGGTTACAGATAAAAAGTAAGTTTAAAAAATTGCATGTCTCGTGACAATTTGACCAAAACTAAAAACAATTGTTTCTGTATCAGGGTTTCCAAGTTGGAGAATTTCAGTCAAATACTAGAGGGGGGGGGAGGAAAAAAAAGTAAAGGTTAATTTTAAAAAGATCATCCAAAATCTACCCTTTACTTTGCTCTGTTTATAGCTTAAATTTCTCTCTCTAACTATAGTATATTGATAATTTTATTATCATAAACTTGACAAAGAGAAAAGTTTATTAAGATTTGGTTACCCTCTGGTTCTAAAAAGGAACTGGAGGGTCCAGTACTTCCTCAGACTGACACATGTTGATACTCTGCAATTCTTCCTACATGTTTCAAATTTCAATTACCATCTTCTACATTGACTACATGTTCTATTAAAAAGATACTCTCCCCTTCATGTTGAACTGAGCACTGCCCCCAGAATATCTAGATTTTTTTTTTAATCAAATAGATTTCATCTTTCAATATTCAATTAGTTGTTGGGAGAAAGTGGGCAAAATGAAAGGAATATAAGTAGAAAAACTAGAGATTTTTTTACTTGAAATCAAGATATCAGATTTTGATTCTCTACCTCCTCATCCCTCAATCTTTCTAATGAACATATTTTTTTCCCCAAATAATCACTAAATCCCCAACAGGGTACACTACTGCCCTTATTGGCCTATTTCATTGATTTCCCTTAGAATATTCTTATGTTTTCAGTGACAAAGCTGCTGGAATGTTGTTGTTTACAGAACATATAATGGTAATAGGATGAGTAGGTGGTGGTGGTAAGGTAAGCTTTTGGGATGGAGAATGCGAAAAGAAATTTTCAGAAGTATACTGCAACTATTCCTTTCCGATAAAAGCATCTTAGCCCACCTAACAATAAAGCAAAATATCACAGCTCAAAGTTATCTTAGTCTTCAATGTTTAGGTGAGTACACGGCCTACATGCTATAAATGTGAGCATCCTCAATACATGTGAGCATCAAGTATCCATGCTCAAAAAAAGAAGGTAAAAAACGAAGATAGGCAATACATTAAGCGTACAGTTATATTAACTCAGTGATAGCCTATCATTTTGCTTTCAGGTGGAAGCACATTTTACCAAACCAATGTAGAAATGCTCTAATTTATATTGAACAAATCGAGATTCAATCCTAACAAAATAAACAGTTTCAGTCAGATCACGATGAAAAAATCTAATCTCAAATTTTAAATAAAGGATACCTTATCTCCGAAAGATGACTGAACAAATAGGTGTGATTGTGTGATAGATATATTAGCATCTAACCTTCATCAGGCATTAATTTCTGTTTTTCCTATACTACGGAGTTAGAAGGCTATGAAATTGAACTCCATTTCCTATGCATATCCTCAGATGTTTCACTAGGCATTCCTATTGATTGAAACACTGCAACACTACCTCCTAAAAGTTGAGGAACTCAACGTTTGGACACATTGCTGACACTTATTTTGCTTTAAAATGCTTAAACTCCAAAATGCACAAGAAACAGTGAAATGTCACTGTGGGAACCTTTATGTGCTTCATAGCTCTTCTCTTAATCAACATAATACACAAATAATAAGCCTACATCCTAAAATATATTATATTAACTGAATCCACTTAACACATGCTACAATGTTGTATCATGGTCGTCTAAAATTAATTTCAACAAAGGGACTAACCTGGAAGGAATCTGTGATAGCTGAAGAAATTGTTTTCTCAATAACTGGACTTATTGTACGAGCTACATTTGTGCCAACAGCAGCCAATTCTTTCTTCAATGTTCTCTCAAGCACAGCAAGAAAGTCCTTGTTCACCATGTTATTTACCAAACCATGTATCTGCTGCATACGATCTCGTAACGACTTCTCAAGTTTAGTAATCTCCTCCTGTGTGCGAGCCCACAAAGCATCAGTATTGGCCTTTGAAGCCTTCTCTATGCTCCGTCCTAAAGCCGCCTCTAGCCTTCTACCTTCTTTAGTAATTGGTGTAGAAACAACTGTACTCATCTGCTTCTGCATTTCTTTCTGCGCATTTAATATCTGCAGAAAATGAATTGGGAACTGTGAGATGGAACATAGAACGCAAAATACAGCCAAATGTCAAGCATGAATTGACTCGTGGAAATATTGAAGTAGAAATGCAGGAAGCTGTTGTAATTGATTGGAAGAAAGTAAAGATAACAATGTAACATACAAAATTGATAGGAGCAAAGACAACAGGCACATCATTTACTTTTTATCTATATTAACACAAACATATTTATATTAAAAAAGCAAACGCCACATGATATTATCAGGCTCTGTATTAGTCTGTAAGTCACTGTCTAGCTCTTGGCCTCTTTCCCCCGCTCCTCCCAAGCCACAACTAAATGAAGAAGGGGGCTGAGAGAAATGTTTTTTTCAAAAACCACAAAATGCAAGAAATAATGACCAGACTGCAAACCCCAAAAACTAAAATTGTCAATATGGGCGATTCAGTTGGCACAAACAAGATCTCAACCAACAACTGAAGAAAATTAACACAACCTTCAACCTCGAGATAACCAGGATTCTACTGCACGCTTATTAAAGGTTGGACAGATTCACTCACTGTTGAAATCCAACAAAATCAGACTGAAGTTGAATACATCAAGATTCAGGTCAAACTCCAATGAAATCAGATTTAGCTAACACCCCCACAAAAAACATTTGTTATTAAGCATCTAAACCCAAATTTTTAAATATTGGACAAGGCAAATCAGATTATCTGCCTGAATTTTTCAAGCGCTAGACTTTTGGTTGACTTAATTTACTTAATATCGACACACAGAGATAAGTTCCTATGTCAAACAGAATAGAACCATACAGTCTATAGTTATTGCAGCATAACTTTAGGAGATGCTAATACTTTCAGGAATCGATATTCAATTTTGGTACCTGTGGCTAAGGCCAAAAGTGGTTTAGCATAAAGTAATATCAAATAGTTCACATCAGTTACATCACCCTAAGGACTCAGACAGCCTACTGCGCTAAGCGGGGTAAGGGGATAAGACATACACAAGACACAACCTTACCCATAACCCATATGATAACACTCATAACAGAAAGATTGTTTCCTACTTCCTAGTGACCCTTGAATCAATATAAAATTATCATAGGCTGCTTCACTATAAATATTCACCACAGTTTACAAAGCCATCTAATATCTGTCCATTGTAATCCAACAGATGAAAAATTATGAATCTATACTGTGCAAGATCCTATGATGCACTAAAAAGTGTAAAACAGTTTTGAAATTGAAATTCGAATTATGACCTGATTAAGTGTTTCGTGCATAGCCAGCATCTGTGAACTAGAAGAGGGCTCCACAAATTGCACACCCGAACCCGCTTGAAACAAATCTGCTGCATTTGAAACACTAAGTGAAGGAGATAATGAACCAGATGCTTGAGAGTTCTTTCCCTTCTGTTTTTTCCCTTTGGCACCTGGTGTAGGAGACTGTGGCACCGGTGTTGTAGCAGCATAGTCTGCAGCTTTCCTAGACACATCATTATTGGCTTCATCTCCTTCCTCCTCACCTGAGTTTGAAGGTTGTGCTAGAGCCTCCATTATGCTATTTCTAGCTTCTTCCATTATAGATGTCTCAGAGGGTAATGCACAACACTCCCGACTCATATCAGCCCCCAGATCTGATGCCTGTGAAAAGAAAGATTTTTTCCTTTCTGTCTGGTATGACTTGAGGATCTACTTGCCGAGAAGACTCATCACTGTTACCAAATCCAGTTTCGTCTACAACTTTAACCTCAACCTCAACATTTCCTGCATCTTTACTCACAACATCATCTTGAATTTTAGCCTCATTTTCACCATTTTCAGACACACGGGTTGCATCAGCTGAAGATGTAGCCATAATCTCAAAAGGAGTAACAAGATGAGTTGGGTGTTTAAACATGGTAGGAACAGCATCAGAAGTATTCCCTTGTACAGTTCGGCTATCTTCATTTGAGGCAGGCAAAGCCGATGAACTAGTCTGTGCACTATCCATTTGCCTATCAACAGGATAATCAGTAGCAGCTTGATCACCGCGCAAATCACTGAATTTTTTAGATAACCTTGGACTAGGAGGAAGAGGAGGTGGTGCAACAGACACAACATCAGCATTGCTCGATGTTGGTAATAACAAAGTAGAGTTGGAATCCACATTTGCAGTAGTGATATCCTGCACGGATGTTGCATCAGAAGCATCATTCGCAGGACACTTAATCTCAGGTGAGCTCCCTAGACCACTAATATGGTTACTTGATTTGGCTGCAGAATAGGGAACCTCAAAAGATTTGCTTCCAGATGGCTCTAAGCCAGGAACGTATTCAGCTGCATCACGAGAAACAGTGGACTCCGATTTTTCTAAACTCAAGTTTTCCAATGGTGGTGGCAAGCATTGTGAGCGGTCCAAAGCATACTGCTGTATGGCTTGTGTCTGGACACAATAAACTTGAACTAGGTGTTCCCCGTGAGGCAAAACATCACTTGTAGCAGTAAAGCTTAGGATAGGCATAGTGACTGTAAACCCTGATAAATAATCCATCCGGGTTGCTGCTGGAGTGGCACCATATTCTAAATGAATCGCATATATAGCATTCTTTTTGGCATTTGCTAGTAAAAGAAGTCCCCCTTGAGACAAGGCCACAACCTGATTGAAAAAAGCTTCCTCAGCTTCAGGTTCAGCAGAGCTTGTCAGCTCTAGTGTCTGTATGCACCTCCAAGATTCAGCATCACTAGGCAGCAACCATCCTTCTTCGTCAGAAGAAGCCCAAAGCTTCACCTCTCGATTAAGTGGTCCCTGAATTAGGAATAACAAAAGTTAGATAAAAATTAGCAAACAAATAATTATTCTAGCAGGCCAATATTAGCCATAGAACATCCAAAATTTCAAGCAAGATGTATAGAACTCCCCATTAACTGAGATTTTTTTTAAAAAAATGCATGTAAAAAGCAAAAGAAAATAAAATTTATACCAGCTAAAAAGAATAGCTGCATTCTAGAAGGTAGCACATAATCACGTGAGCCCTATAAAGAAAATATTTAAGAGAAAAGGATGTGGCTTACAGCTGTTATCAGCATGATATGGTCTGGTCGGTGTGGGGCAGCCAAAAACTTGGCTGCATCAACAGGATGACCATCATGGGGCCTCAATACCAGAAGTGGCGCTGCCTTGCGATCTTCCCAAATCTTAATCTGAAGACCAAAGATTGAAAATTAAGGTTGTCAACTTTATCAATCACTGATTACATATGAAAATATATTACTAAACAAGAGTTTTTTTCAAAAGTCACTGGTCATAACTCAGAAGGACAAGTAAACATTATGCTTGAAGCCTTAGAATATATAAACAAAATAAGTGTTTTATAATAATAGTATAAAATTAAGTATAATTCATAAAAGGATCAATTAGTTCTACTAGTAAATTAAGAGTTATATCACAAGCTTTTCATTCATCTTATAAAGAATGAAAAACAACTCACTTCAAAGTAACTTAGTAACCATTGATAAGGTAACAAGAGGGTAAAAAACTAATAGATTCCCTATTATTGACAACAGCAATATTTGGATTTATGAGCAAACAGAAACAGAGTCCCAATTTTACCAAAGTGAAAAACTGAAACTCGTTGAAAACAACTATAGATTCAAATACCTGACGCCTTAGGTACTACTAATTGAGAGAGCCTAAAAAACTCTTCATCTGGAAACATAAATTTGACCAGAAAAGTGACATATAAGGCCCAATTCTTTTCACTTGATTTTCACTAAACATTTTTTTTTTATAAGAATTTTTTATTAATCAATGTATGTGTATATTGCCAACCCCACTTATGGGATTAAGAGTTTGATTGATAGATTGACATTGTATGTGTATATTAATACAGGTTCCAACATCCACATAGTAAGGGAGCTGACTCACTGTTCCATCCTTGGAAGCTGAAACCAAACGAGTCGTCATCCATTGGCACATTGATAAATCGGTAACCTCCCCTTCATGTTTACCAACTAGCTGAACCCCTTCAATCAGCTTGTCCAAAGGACATGCAAGAGCCTCCTCTCCAGAAAATTCAACACCCTTGCGAACCTTTGTAGTATCAATTTTAAGGACAGTTTTTCCAATGGCCACAACCAAAATTTCCTGCAGATTTAATAGTTAACAAAATCAATCAGCACAAAATAATACACAACACCTCTTTGAAAGACGTTAAATGATAAATGGGGTAGTTTAAAAGCATGTAAAATTAGAAGTTGATAATTACTTGTTTGTGACAGTGCCAGCAAACTCGTGGATGAACAGATCCTTCATTCCCAGTTATATGAATAGCTAGCACAATATTTCCAGAAATTTCCGGCTTATCTTCCTTACCTGGGCCTTCAGAAATTTTCCATACATAAATGCGTCCCTCTATGCTTGCACTGCATAAATCTTGTCAGTTAACTCAAAGATAAAATTCGCAAAAACATAATAATCAGTCAAGTAATACCTAGCCAGAAGATGAACGTCTTCCGCAAAGAAGGCCATATCTGTTACCCTCTACAGAACAAGAAAGGAAAAAAAATAAAAAACAAAAGACAGGAAATCCAGCTGGTAAAAAGCATAGCTGTTTCACTTCAAGCGAAAATGCAAAAGTGCAAGGGGGAACCCAAAAGAAAACCAGGTAAAGGTAAATCTCTAAAATGAACTTCTAACTTTCTACTGGAAACAGTTGTTGAAATTAAAAAAATATTAATTTAAAATTAAGGAAGGGGGTGAGGCTCGGGAGAGGGGGGTGTTCAAAATTCATGATAAATGAAAAGCCATAGATTGTAGGATACATAAGTGAAAGACAGTTAGACTTGCAACCCTAAGCAAGATACAGAACTCATTGTACGGCATTAAACACTATCTGAAGAAACCAAAAGCATTATTATTACTAAGGCAATGTTCACTTCACATTTAAGCTGAAATATAGTAATTGATTTATACTAGTTAACAGTTATTTTCATTGAGTGAGAATGGTATTTATTGATTAAGCCTGATTTTGCTGGGTTTATTTTGTCATCTGGGTTCCTTCTTACTTCAAAGCCAAAATAAAAGGAAAAGTTAACCACAGAAAATTAAAACTATTTTGCAAGTTAAAATTATTTTCAGTGAATATAACGTAGTTTGACAGTACAAGTTGAAGTGAACAAGGACTAAGAAAGCTCTCATTGTCAAAATTAATAGCTTTATAGGACCCCTAGTCTCCTACACAGCCTACAGTATCAAGCTTACAGCAGTCAGCAAGCAATTTCTTCTAAGATGCCACAACTGGTCATACCAAAGAATAATAACTATTATCAGAGTAATATTTTCCTTTCCAACAGATAGATAGCCCAAACTGGTCAAAATATATAGAATAGTCAGGCAGGCACACAAAGGCTCCTCTTTAATTATTGGATATGAATCAGGCACATATTTGGCAACAATGTTCCAAGGCTAAACAGAGAGAAATATTTACCATAATACTTTGATGAAAAAAGAAGATTCATTTATATGTCATTAAACTCGATACGAATAACAGAATTGGTCCTCTTTTACAGCAAATGACAGGCATGACACCGGTAATTAGAGAATTCGTATGTCGCAACATATAACATACAGATACTAAACAATGAAGTTCTTAATAGGCATATAACCTATTAAACTGATTTCACACTTGAACAAATTGAGAAGATGATAAGTCTGCCTTTAATAAACGTATATAAAGCAATGAAAGCTTGTAAATTGACACACGGAGGGATTACAACTACATATGGTAATAACTAATACAAGTAAATAATTACTCAGCTGGAATAAATTACGTAAGCAAGAATGCACGAATAGTATAAGTTACCTATTATATCCTGATTAAACAATCTAGCGAGTGCGAGAATAATAAAACTTTATTTTCCTAATGTATTCTTGGATAAGATGTTACAACACAATTGTATATATAAACCTAGTCCAAACTAAAGATGTGATTATACAAATGTTTTTTACATTTAGATATCAATAATTTGTAATATAAACGATGTCAATTCTCTAATTTTGGTAATAGGGTATGAACTGGCAAGTAAGGTTTTTCACTAGTCGGTCACAGCTGATCTTTTATGCATTACCATAAATACAATGTTCATTCAGAAGATCAAGGATTTAAGTGAGGATAGCTTACTAAAAAGGACAAAAGCAAATGAAGAATATATCCTGCCCCTCCCCCCAGTCCCCCACCCCATTTTGTTAAAGTTGTAACAATGAAAGAAAGCGAATGGTTGATTGTCAATTACAGAGTAAGTAATAGTAAAAGTACAAAAGCATGAAAATGGTTAGGAGGGGAGAAGAAACCTGAGTGTGACCTCGAAGAAGAGCCCTCAAGGCGGTATTAATGTTGAGAACACGAATATTTCCGAGCTTAAGGCCATAGCATATATAAGTTTTGTTGACGGCAATTTGATGACCAAGGATGAGGCCAGGATCAGAGACATACTTGGTAATGGGAGTGACCTCCAACTGAGGCTGGTCCTCGCCCTGGGACCTAACATCGATATCATAAAGCATATGATCGCCAAGCAAATGGCGTCCCCTGGGAAGCTTGCTGCTAGGCATACGAATAGGGGCGGGCTGAACAACAGTAGGAGAGACGGGAACAGAAGGAGGCATGGAGGAGGACGGCATAGGGGCAGGTACAGGAGCAGGGTTTTGATGAGAGTAATTGAAATCGGGAGGAGGACTGCTAAGCAAGGCCATGAGACGGGCGCCGGGGCTGGGGTTTTGAGGAGGAGCACTGGGAACAGGCTGAAGAGGAGGAGTAGGGAAAGAAACAGACCTTTGGTGATGCATTTGATCTTGAGGAGGATAGTGATGATAATAAGGAGGAGTAGGGTTTTGAGGTGGGAAAGAGTATGGACCGGCAGTCGGAGGAGGGTACGAAGCGGATGGCCCGTAATTGTTAGGGTTTTGCGCCGCCTGTGGTGGTGGTGGTGCTGATGCTAAATTCGAGGGTTTGAAGAACTTATTCATATCGAATTGGCCTCCTCCACCACCGCTGCCGCCTTGTGCTTGTTGCTGCGCCGCCGCCGCCGTCTGCAGTTGATTTGGATTCCCAGTTGAAGCCATCTCTACAAATTCACAAACACATCCCCACTTAAATTAAATTAATTCAAAAATTAAATACAAATGAAAAACAGATCTAATCTAAATAATAATTTAAAAAAAAAGAGTAGGAGACTAGGAGGAGAGAGAAAGTAGTACTCTACCTTGAGATCCAATAATGGAGGAAAAACAAAACAAAAAAAAAACACAAAGAATTGAAAAGGGGCACCGAAAATGAACCCCCGAGAAGCAGTAAATCGGCGAACAAACAAAAACAAAAACAAAAAAAAAAAAAAAAAAAAAAAAGTAGGGATTTGTTTTGTAATGAGAATTAGGATTTGGGAGAAAGGAGATTTGGGAAGATAAATTGCAAATTCAGGCCAGGCCACGCTTTTCTTCTTCTATTCTTTTTCGCTTTCTCTCACTCACTACTTCGGACTTACGGAGTAGCTCTATCAATATTCAATACTCACATTGCCTTGGAATTACTCGTTTTATGTTTCCTCTTCTTTTTTTTCTGTTTTTTTCTCCACCTATTAATGACTCATTATTTCATTTTTCAATGGGATACAACAAATTTGATCAATTTAAGGTTTGTGATTTTCTATGCTTAATCTCTTGTGTTTGTCTCAAATGGTTCACATAATTATGTTGCTATTTAACATTTTCTCTAACGTAATCTTTGTTACAAGCAATTGGATACATAATTTTATGCAATAGTGATAGTATACATTTGAAACAACGATAAAGGATTGGAATATGACTTAAATTTTATTGTGTTTTATCCTGTTTGGTAGTGAGTATTTTAAATATATAATATCACATCGTCTCAATCAAGTCAAGTTAAGCATCTTACGACTAACTTGAAATTTGCTTAGTCAAAATTTGATTTTAACTCAATTTGGTGTCACTAAGAAAAATATTTAATGATACATTTTCCTAATATCTAATATCTAGTATCTATAATAATTTAAGTTTATACGAGTCGAGAGAGGCATTACCAAGTTCAACAAGTAGCAAGCGTGGGCATGAACTTTAAGAGTTGAGTCGAGCAATAAATGAAGTTAAGCATGTTACAGCCATCTCAAAGTTTGCTCGGTCAAAATTTGATTTAAACTCAACTTAGTATCAATAAGGAAAATATTAATGATATATTTTCCTAGAGCAAATTCAAGTTATCTCAATGAGAAACATATATTGTTACATCAAGCGGATATTTCTGTAAATAGGTATCCTAGGAAACGCAAACAATATTATTTTATATGTTTGTATACATGTGGCACTTAACCCAGGGTTAAGCAATAAGCACTTAACTTAGGCGTTTGAAACCAAATAAACGAAAGTTTCCAAACACCGGCGAAGTTGGACGAGCTACTTTTGTGGAGTATCATGTTTTCATCTGTTGAAGGCTCTGCACTGTTGTTGTAACCGCCCGGAGTTATTGTTCTTCAGCGATCGGAGCCTTAATGGTGGTTTAAAATCTTTAATTTTATCATGGAACAAAGTAAGTGTCGAGCACTGTCCTCTATGAAATCCAAAAAATTTCGACCATCCACCACTCAATTTCGACCACCATGACTATGACCTGAGCAGTTTAGTTTTAATGGAGGACATGTCACCCTTAACCTTTAGGGTTGACCATGCCCTTAATTTCACATCTTTTTCTAGGGTTTTTCGTTTATGTCAGTGCCTCTAGAAGCGTCGGATGGGGTCATCTTTAGTGGTCTTCAATGGTGGCGCCTTCAATAATGTAAGCTTCAATGGAGGAGGAGGGAGGAGTAAGTAGCAAGGAGGAGGAATAAGGAGATTGATACGCTGTGGGTGATTGAAGTTAACTAGAGTTCATAAAGTTACCTCAAGTAAAAATCAAATTACATTTTTATCCTTCAATAACTAGTTGAGATTACTTAATTACCCTTTGAATGTGAGCAACTAGGGCTCCCTCGTTTTTCTAATATTTAAGAATTCATATCTAAAGTAACTCAAGTCAATGCAAGTCAAGTGAGGCATTACCAAGTTCAAGAAAATACAATATTTTTTTGTTTTTTTGTTTGAAAACAAATAAATAAAGTAGTGGAATGGTAGTTACTGGTTAAAAAATAATAATAATAACAAAAAAAAAACTCATGCATGAGATTTGAGGATTGAGGATTTGGAGGGTTGTGGTGAAAACGACTCTGCAATTATATATTAGATTTTTTAAAACACCAATAACTACCTTATCCATCCCACTAATTTTTTTAATTTAACTTTTTGTATTTTTTCAAGAGATACCAATAACCACCAATATTTCACTTTAGGTAATTTTCTTTCGCGTATAATGTATCCCGTGCAAAGCATGGGTATGCTCTAGTTTCTAGAACTCCAACTCTCAATTCTCATGCATTCTCTCCTTTTTTTTAGAACAACTTACTAATAATAACTGCTACAATTCCAAATTAATATGAACAAAATCCATAACTTCCATTCCCCAAAAAAAATCTATAACTTCCACGTATACTACTTTTTTCCTGCATGGGTACATTCTAGTAAGGTGAATTGAGTACGCTCTTACTTTTTTAAAACCCCTCTCCCCTCACCCACTAGTGAATGTAGTGATACTATTAGATGATTGAACACTTTGCACTTGTTATAAGGAAGCAACGTTCGAGTGATCATTTGACTAATTCTATTCACCTGATTTTTACTTATCTGAACTTATCTTAATTTATCTAAACTTATTTGATCTTATCTTTTTTTTTTGTTTGGAGAATATCTGATCTTATTTGAACTTATGAGCCCTTATTAGAACTTATTTTAGTTATAATGTAAACTTGGTAGCCCTGATTAACCCTTACCACAACTTATTTGAACTTATTTTTCCTGAACTTATCTTATTTAGAACCTATCTAAACTTATTAACCCCTTATATGAAGTTATTAACCCTGAAATAATTGGAATTAAGGTGAACAGAACAGGGCCTAATATTCGTTTTTTTATACTCATTCGCCAATTTTGCTTACATGACATTTGAATTATTTAATTCTAAAAGAAATTAATAATCTCTTATTTAATTGGCTACTATTAAGATTTATAATCCTACATGGCGCGCTGAGAAAATTAGATCCTACGTGGCTCTCTAAAAACTCGGGAAAAAACTCCCCTTTTTATATACTAGTTTTATGCTCGTGCGATGCCCGGGTTGTTTATTAATTTAAAGATATATTTTAATCTATATGTCAAATTTTAAAATATATCATTGATACAAAATTAGTTAGGAATCGACGTATTTTTGTGACGATTTAAACTTGTAGACATGTAATGACAAATAATAATAATATTGGTGATTTTTTTTTTACCTTGTCTGAAATGACTCGTGACCTAGCCTGATTGACAGGTCTACACACAGTAATAAAATTATATTAGATTGTGAAGTATATTATTTTAATTGATTAGAATATATTATAAACCATGGATGTGGTACATTTTGAACTAATTCCTTCGCTCCAAAAAAATATTATGATACAAAAAATAAATTTATATGATAACTTATGAGAGTTATAATCTAATTTTTTTTTGAATAAAATTATAATTCAATTTGTACATATGAAATATAGGTACTTTATAAAAAAAAACTCTAAATTAACAATTTTATCCTAAAATTCTATCCAAATTTGATTGAAAATAAAATTCAAAACTACCTTTTTTTATCCTACGTGGCACGATACTTGGCGAAAAGTTAGAACGCCAAGTGTCGCTATCTCGTTGCCTGGCTAAAAGTTTAGCCTTATATATTAGTTATATGATATGATATATTAGATTACTAATCAAGATTGCTTTTCACTTTTTTTTTTTGTAAATATTCTATGTGTTTTATTATCATTATTTCATATAAGAATAAAGTAACATTTGCATAAAAAATATAATTAAAGACATTCCTCTTTACGTTCAACAATTGAAAGATGTTTCGGCGTATTAAAGAAAAAATGAAAAATCTTAAAGATAATGCCACCTATGGATGAAACATTTCAATTGTCTATCATTGTTGCAACATTTACGTTTCACAATTTTATCTGTCTATACGAATTAGGGATACTAATATTTCAAGAGGTTGAAGAAATGGAGACTAGAGCAGATTATAATTTGTATGATATCCAAAGGAAAAAAGCTATGAACCGTATTCGGGATAAAATAACAAAAGATATATGGAAGTCGGTTGGAGGTGTCGTAGAGGATGATACAGAAGAAATTGATGATGAGAATGATGATGATGAAGCATTAGAAGATTAAAATTTTATTTGGTGTTATTGCAACATACACTTTTGCTTGTTTCAGTGTTTATTTTTTTTAATATTTGAAATTATGAAAATGCTAATATTTTCATATTTTGTTGCTTTTATTTTAATATATTGTTATATATATACTCATATTACCAATATGTTACACAATATGTTTCAAGAATGACAAATAATGTCTAATAAAGACTTATAAGTGTTAATAAGGTTTAATAAGGTCAAATAAGTGAAAATAAGTGTTAATAAGGTGTAATAAGTTCAGATAAGGGTTGATAAGTTCAGATAAGTAAAAATCAGGTGAATAAAACACACCCTAAAAAAGTAATATGTCCTGCTTAATAGATACGACATTATTAGAATACAAGTTGTGCAAAGTACAAATTTAACTAAAAATATTGATATGAATTGTATGATGATTAAAATAAAAGTGGATGATTGTTATATATTGAATGAAAGAGGAAGAAAGTGTTATGAAGATGATTTTTTAGAAACAAATCACATGGAGGAGGGAATCTATAGATCAACATTCATTTGATAATGAAAAAGTTGCGACATGATTCCAAATCCAAACCAAATAAATGAGCAAAAAAAAATAATAAAAAGGGGTATTGGGCCATGATGTAGGATAATGGGTTGACCAACACAAGGCCTTAATTTGGAAAAGAGACGGAGCTTGAACGCAACGCCACAATATTCGGTAAAACTGCAACATAACAGTTTGGAAACAAGTTACCATCATCAGATAATCACGCCCACGGGAGTTATATTTCACTATTTCCCATCTTCAACCCTCACCTCACCTCTCTGTATTCCAACCCAAATTCAACTGCTCTTTTCCGTTTTTTTTTAAAAAAAAATAAATAATCCGTAATTCTGTTTATAAATAGTCATATTCCTACCTAATTTCCAATTAAGAATTTCGTATAACTCTCTTCAATTTCAAACTCATTTAATTCAATTCCAAACTCTTGTAATTCAATTCCTCTCTCATAGAAGAAATCAAGATGTGCTGCTGTCCGAGTAAGGTTTGCATGCTCTGCACTTGTTTGATTCTGGTTGTTATCGCCATCGGTTTTCTCTTCGGCTTCGGCGTTTTCAAGAACGGTTTCCACAAATTGAAGCATACCATGGATGTTTCTCAGCCTTTAGGCGTCAATTACGATCACAATTTGTATTTTGCTCCTCCTCCTTTCTTTTAATTATTATTATTATTATTATTATTATTATTATTATTATTATT